AGAGTCGCTCATTCTTCAGGTAGAGAGACCGCAATTATGATAGCTTGCACAACTGTCAGAATGCCTTAGAAAAGGCTCGCAACAGGAACATTTTTCGCAATGCCACATAGAACTGGGCCCAGGGGTAGATGGTGAACATCTGTGAATAAAATATAGATGAAGTGGCACGATCGCTCTTGGAACTTAGTCCATGAAGCTGCTCTGATTGCGGATATAAAGGTCATTAAAAAAGTCTTTTGAAGAACGTGAGTTGAGGACCTAAAATGAACAAACAACGTAAGGAAATTGCAACCATGTGAATATGGGTCTTCGTTCGCCCTTATGATGGGGTCAGTTCTTTCGCCCTTGATTTCATGAGATTAATGGTGGGGCGATTATCTGAATTTCCATGTCATTAGCCCGGTGTACTTTATTTTTGAAGAGAGACAATGATAGTGTGTAGTCTCTCGTTTCCTTGCCACAAAGTGTTACTCATTTATCGATCTCGGAAAGAAGAAAGGCGAGTGATTCCAGCCAGCACTAGAAACCGGGACTCTCTCGATCTTGCGTCCGACGCTCTAATGACAGAGCAACTTGGTCTGAAGCAAAGTGTGGCAAATTCCTTGTTCAAGGGAATTCATGGTTACGATAAAAATTGCGTTGCTAAGTCAGATTCGAACGCAGCACTTTCTCTCTTACACTGTGTCACCACGCTACAACCGCAGACATCCAAAACAGAAGAATAAATGAATGAATACAAGCTTATGGTCTGCTAGTTTTTGCACATTAACCTTTCGCAGCTGTTTGTTGCTTTGGTAGATCAGTTTCCATTTCTGGTGAACCCGTTTCATGCTCAGGCAACAATGGCTCGCTGTCCATGGTACTGTCGCCCTTATCGCCGGAGGACATCTGCTGACGACACAGCTCGACCTCTTTCTAAACGGACGAGAAGATTATTTATTACCATCCACGGAACGATGAATGAGAAAGAAGCGGCGTACCGTAAGTCGGTGAATGAATGTTGGCATGCCACCAAGAATCTGAAAGGTCTCGCTGTCGGTAGTGGTGAACAGATCAATAATTCGCACGGAACGCGTTACGAACTAAAAATATAAAAAAACTACGTAAATACCGTCGCGCTGATCGCCACGACATACCGTAATGTTTTCATCCAGGATCGAGGTCGATCTGACAACGGACAACAACGTGTCCGTCAACCCGCTTGATATCAGAGCATCGCCAGCTAAATGTTGTAACAGATACAGCATACGTAAACGATTTGGGAGGCCAAACAATAAGCCTACCACTGTCATATCCTGCCATGTAATACAAGAACGAAAACAGTGCCGTTATGAATGAATGTGGTATCTTGCGTTCGGATGATTCTATAAGAACAAGCGGTGGAATTCAGCGACAACAGATGTCAGTGACAGCAACTTACGAAGCAGGTAGCTGATACAGGAGCGCACCATTGTCGGTAAAAAACCATGGTAGTAAGAAGCGTTGGTTCGCTCAGTGATAATGTTTAGCCTCGGTTGACGATCGAGGTAAATCATCGCAGTGAGCGTCTTCAGGATCTCTGTTCTTATATCCTAAACATTCGGCGTGGTGGTTAAAATGTTCGAAATCTGTCGGTTGCCAAAACATTGAACACTACTACTCACCCAGAGTGAATCAGAAGAAAGGGATTTCAGCAATTCTATACATTCTTCTACAAATCCATTCGACAGATGAACGCTGCAGCTTTCTGTCATGTAACCGGCATACACTAAGGCAAACAATGGTACAGTATAGCACCGTTAATGCGAACACACGGTCGTTTAACAACACTCACTTATCACGGATAAAGCCTTCAACCTGGCTAAGATGCACTGTAATCGTTTACCGTAATCACCAAGATACTGCGCAAGTCGTAGCTGGCAGAAGAGCACGATCTAAGAACGCATTCGTATGTTAGTCAAGACGAACAAGTGAGATGGACCAGTCGACCACTCGGCAATACCTGCTTTTCTTTCGGCACTTTAAACGTAGTCAGAATGTCATCCATGATCTCACCGGGCAGCTGTGTCATCTATGCGCGATAAAATTAAACAAAAAATCGCAACGTATGAAAAATAGTTGCACCAACGCACGAGTACCTTGTCAACGTTTTCCATGTGAACAAAGTAGTTTGCCTTGCTACAGGTCGACGGGCTCTAAAATGGAAATTGTGTAAAAACGTTTGTGAAAAAGGTCGGTCAGTACTTTTCCTTTGTCTTCCGC